GAGCGCTGGGACGCGACGCAGTGTGCGGAACGCAATGCAATGCAATCAGTTTAGGAAATATTTGGTGATTCTTTCTTTTTTTTCCTTTTGGTGGTGGACTATTTTCGGTTTTCACGCGGCAAAAAGTTTTGCCAACCAACAAAATTTATGCGCGTACGTCATTCATGCCTCAGCCGAGCGCACGCCGCGCTACACATGAGTCCTTTGGCATGGCACTTTGTTGCAAGCGCTTACTCGTATGTGGCAGTAACGCCCTCTGCAAGTGTGACGGCGAGAAGATGGTGGGTTAGCGGTTGGCACAAAGCAAAGCAAATAATTCATTCGAAATGTGAATGAAATGAAATAAAATCATTTACGAAATAAGACCGCGTTGGGAGAAGGGGAAAGTGGCGTTCAACAAGCGGTTGGGTTGGCGCGTTGGTTCGTGTGTGTGTGCGTGTATGTGTGTGTGTGTGACCTTGCTTTTTGCGGCAAGAGATTTTCACTCTCCAGCGTTCGCATTTTCGAAAGCTTCTAATCCAAGCAAAAAATAAACTGTATATATCTATAAATGTGTATGTGAAAATTAAAGAGTACATATGTACAAACGCATATGTATACACATACTCACACAGAGAAACTAATCGAAAGGGTGTCATTAATTCCTACTTTACAACAGCACCCCAACCGCACTAGCACCGGAGCAGAGGCCTCTGCTGACTGATGAATTATTGTGACAGGCCGCAGAAAACCTATTAAATTTGAGTCTCGTTGGCGCTACTTAAATTTGTCAAAATGTCTCTTTTTTACGCGTTCAACGCTTAGCGCGCAACCGGTTTTCGGTGTTAGTGTTGGTGTGGTGTGGTCGCTCGCAACACACAACGGAATACATATGGAATTGGATACTTGCACGCACGCTGGCAAAGTCATGGCTCACGTGGTTTGCTGGCTGAAGCGAACAATAGCAACAACGACATCAACAATAACAACAAGCATAGCAAATAATAGCAAGCGCGCAAGTTTGATTGATATCGAAATGTCACGCAGACGCGCATGTGGCTAATAGGCCCTGCGGTTCTAGCCATAAAATACGATTCATTTGCCATTTGCCATTTACCATTTTCCATTTTGCTATTTTGCTCAGAGAATTGATTTTGCCACATGAATTGGCTACCATTTGTTGGCGCGAAATTATTGTGTGAAAAATCGAATGGAGCTCAGTGCACAGCTGCTACAAGTCCATATATACGAGTATGCACATACATATATACATATCTATATATCTAAGTGAGTGGTTTTTAAATTTGCTCATATGTGTACATACTTCCATATACACATATACATATATACAATTATGTATGTTATGTTATGTGCGCGCCTTTTTCGGCCTATGCCAGGCGAGTGACAAATTTTCACATTTTATTTGGCTTGTACTTCTAATGCGTATTCGTGATTTCAAAATAAATATATAAATGAGTTCAGAATTAATTGGCCGGGGTTACTGGGTCGGTCGTGGACGATTGGGTATGGGCGACAAAGCCATTTGCTATAAATGTAATTAGTTATGCATGGAAATTGAGGAAATAAATTTGGAATGCTCACATGAAAATTCCCTTTGGAATATAATTAACGAAAGTTTTTAATCAGCATAATTTTGTTGCTTTGTATCTTTTGGTATATAAAATATTCCACCGGCGTATATTATCATCCTGCTTCCGCCCTACTTTCAATTTTTTTTTCGTATAAAAACTTATTTTTGAATTTATTTTTTTTTTGCTTAAATTGGAATGTTTGTTTGGAAAAATTGTGGTATTTTGGCAATCAAGTTTTTTGCACCGTTATGAAAAACGAAGTCAAGAGCCAAGATCAACCATTAGTTTAACGTTAAACAAAACTTTCAATCGATTTGGTTGAAACATTTAGAAATTTTATTGATTGAGCAGTTATCAAAATAACCCCAACGAAGTGCTGTTGTTAAAGCGTTTTTCAGCAATTTTTTTGAAAGGGAAGGAAATTAATGCGGTAAGCGGAGCTATCAAACATTAATGTACTAAATTTAAACTTCAAAAAAGAATTTTTAGTATCATAAAATATTGGAGTTTTCCGAATGTTGTGATGAGTTTTATCAAGCGGCTGCAGTCTGAACACGTCGGCGCCGGTGATGGAGGTCATGCGATGTAAATGTATCAAATTTTCTTTTATGTTTTGAGTGTCTTTTCTACATCAACTAAAAAAATTCCGTAGAAATTGGAAAATTCCAAATTTTTACGATTACAAAAAAAAATAGGTTTAATAATACTTTTTTTGTTCAAATAGAAGATAATTTCATATTGTAGCTGAACTGAGCTCAGTTTGACTTATTTTCAGTCGGATATAATTTTTTTTTTATCGCCGCCACTGTTGTCTAAGACTTGTAAAAATGAAAACACGACAAAACGTGCTTAAAAGTTCTGCCCGAGCATTCGAACCTGCTCGACGCTCGGCCACTACAACTGAACCAGCTTCTAAAATATGTGGAATTAGACACTGAAATTTTGTAGGCATATTCTTGGACAGTTTTCGAATAAATTAAAATAAAATGCATTTTTGGAAGCCTCAAAAGCAATCCACTATTTTTCACTAGATGGCATTAGAAAGATCATATTTCGTACTAAAAAAGCTTTTCTGAGAATTTTGTAGTTAGTTTATTCAGTTTTATTTGAGCGTCAAATATGGACACTAGCAAAGAGAAAATACATTATATTTTAGAGCTTTTCTCCGATCAGGGCGAAAACGCAAGACAAGCGGATGCACAATTCCGGTTTCATTTCCATAATTATAATATAAAATATGCTTCACGGTGTGCAAGACGAGTTGTCGAAAATGTCGATGAAATAATAAAAATCACCTAGTCTGATCATCATTCGAATACTGTTTCGATTGCCTTGTAGCCAAATATTGCACCGAAAATAGTTGGAAATCATTTCCCAAAGACTACATTCACAAGGAAGCTCGATGTTTGGTTGCCAAATGACTTAATGAGAAAAATCCTTATGGACCAAATTTTCATCTCCAAATCGATGCAACATTGTAACAAAATCGAACCATTCCTGATAGAGATGGTGGCTGGTGTTGAAAAGTAGATCACTTACAGACACGTCAAATAAAAACGCTCGTGGTCGAAAATCAGTCAGCCGGCACAAACAGTTTCTAGGCTAGGATTGACGACGAGGAATGGATTTTGTCTACTTGGTGGGATCGGCAAGGAATTATTGAATGCGAGCTGCGCAACTATGGCCAAACTCTTAATTCAGGCCTGACCTGTTAGCAATTGGACCGCCTGAAGTAGCAATCGTCCAGGAACGCCCAGCTTTGGCCAACAGGAGGGGAGTTGTCTGTTATGGGGGCAACGTAGCACCACACACATCAATACTGACTCGCTAGAAGCACTGAGAGTTTGTTTGAGAAGTTCTTACATAGCTGCCTTTTATTCCGGACCTCGCACCAAGTGATTACCTCAGTTCCTGTATGAACCGAATGTGTTGGCTGGTGAAGAATCGGCCTCAAAAGATGCCTGTGAAAATCGATTGTCCCAACTTTTTTCCAATAGAATCAAGGGTTTCTATGACATTACCTTCTTAACGGCAAACAGTTATCGAGCAATCACATATATGACATAAATCGGAAATTGTGCTATGGTTAATGAATAAGAATAATGAATTACTTTTTACTTGACCGCAAAATTCGCAATATTACAGTTTTTAAAATAATTTTTAAATTTCTAAAAATATTAATGAATTCAAAGAGGAATGTATCTTTTTGTTTACCTGAAAGCTAGAATCTAAGAAAATGCTATGAAATACTGATGTTTCCTCCACAAAGCAAGACCAACTGTAATAGAGTGACCTCAGCGTTAATATAACCTCACTTTGTAGATATTCGTGAGATTGTTTATCTAGTCTTAAATATTCTAATCTTACTGACAAATTTTCTATCACAACAGCCTCGAGAAGTTTAAACATTGCATTGAGGTACACAAAAAATTCAAATCTCCCAAGATTGAGGTTATGTGGTAGAAATGCAAGCAAAGTTTAAGTAATGCACTTTTTGCAAATTTTTTCACATCACACTAACCAATGACATTACTACACAGCGCCTCTCCCACATTCCACCTCACTGAACACCTACACACTTTAAGTGCAATCCATAAATGGTATCCTGCTGCTGGCGCAATGCCCAAATATAAATAAAGTGTCATGGCGACGAGAAGGAAAGAATACATCAAAACAACAAGCACCTGCTGAGCGGCGGCGACCGCCTGCCGTTGCCTTCACGGCTGTCGGAATTGGTGGTGGCAAGTGCTACATCAACCGCATTACCAATGCACCTAAACCAGTGCGACACAGTCGTTGGTTGGCGCTCGAATAAACGAGCTGTACGATATTGGCTAATAAAGTCATGAATTGCATCGGAGCGGTGGGGGTTGGGACGCCGCAAGATGATTTAGTTAAAGAAATGAGTTCAGCCAACTGGTCCACTGAGTGTGCGCAACAACTAACCGACCGCAGACGGGCACAAAGCGAGCGTCTCACATTAGGCTGCATAAATAAGCGAATGTGTTGTGGAGCGACAGCATTAATGGGACATCCAACAGGCGCGCGATCGCGTCTTTTTCTTTTAATTGCGTAAGCTCTGCATTGGAGAGCACAATGAGGTATTTGCCAGGCTCTGTACGTCGTACGGTTTGGTTCACCCGCTGGCGCGTTTGAGTTATGTTGACGCAATTTTTGTGTGCATTAACCCATTAACGCTTGAGCAGCCAGATGGGTGTGAATGTGTATGTGTGTATGTGCAGAGGGGATTTTGTTGCAGTCGACGCTGAGGGGGATTTATTATGCGCCAATTTAACATTGCAATACTTCTTCAGATTGAACCAATAAACAAGTCAAAGCATTTAATTTCCACAACATTTCGCATTCTACATTCGTTCTTCATGCCGTTTACGATTTTATTATTCGTTCTCTACTTCTTTTTCGTTGCAGTTATGGCGCCAGTTATGATTTAGCATCGCGTCGGAAGAATGCAACGCGTGAATCCACCGCCACGTTAAAGGCCTGGCTCAGCGAGCACAAGAAGAACCCGTATCCAACCAAAGGCGAGAAGATCATGCTGGCCATTATCACCAAAATGACGTTAACGCAGGTGTCTACGTGGTTTGCGAATGCGCGCCGCCGTCTCAAGAAGGACAACAAAATGACTTGGGAACCAAAGAATCGCACCGAAGATGAAGACGAGGATGCGTTAGCATCGGACGATGAGAAACCACGTCATAGTGAGGATATCAGTATGAATAGCGTAGGCTGTGCGGAGCGTAGACGACCCCTTGGCATGGAGTACCCAGTCGGCGCCATAAACGTTTCGCTGGCTAACAATGTAACAGCGTCTGGCAATGGAACGGCGGGCACGACGAATGCCGCAACGACGGGAGCAGGTGTCATGGATGGTAGCGTGAGTGGCGTGGGCGCAACAATTGCAGCTGCGGCGGCGGCGGCGACGGCGGTGTCTTCTTCGGCGTCTACCGCAACAAGCCATCATCCGCATGTTGTCGGCGGCGCGAGTGTGGGTGCCGTTGGTGCAGTACAGCCTGGAAAAGGTAAGCAATTACAACAAGCCAAGCGAAGACCAAATCAACGCAACCAGTTAGGCAACCAACGCAACAAAAGCGCATCACGATGCAATGTTGGCTTGGGTTGCGCTTGAACATAGGCGCTGGCGCTTGGTTCGCGCATTGTTTGTTGGGCTCTAGTATGTGGGTGGCAAAATTGAATGTCTGCACGAGTGGCATGTATGTGGACCACTTGTATACTTATGTGTATGTGTGTATATATGTGTGTGTGTATACTCAATGTACGCTTAAATACTTCACTTGTTCATCACACAGCCGCAATTCAATGGCGCAATTGTTCTGTTCTTTGCTTTATTGGCGACTCTATTGTTTCGTCCATAGCCTGACTTTTTTGTTTAGCAAACGTTGCTTCTGCGTGCCTGTGAGGACTACTGATTTTGCCTTTGTGGTTTCTGTTAACCTTTTCGGTGGCTGCTAGCTGCCAACTATTAAGTGATTTCTGGCTTTCTGATGCTTTGTATGCGAGGCGCCGCATACCATTGTTACACACCTTCCACGAGTCGCATGAATTCATGAGCAATTTAGTCGGGCTTATTGCTTTTTTGGGATATCTTAGAGTTTTCAATTGTTTTGTGGTGGGTAAATTAAAAGCTCAGGGATATTTATGATGTGCGTATTACTAATTTTTTTTCTTTCATATTCTAAAAACAGTATTCTTCTGGAACACACATTTTATTCTATATCTTGAAGTTCATTCGAAACGGTTATATACTTTTTTGATTGGGTTCATGGACCATAGTATCAGTATAAGAAGATCCAAAGGCGTATCTCATAAAGTCGACAAAAATTCGCTCAAATCGTTACTAACTACGTCAAAAGCCATATAAATGAGGTTCAATTATAACGTTGACGGCCTTAATCTCTCAAATAGTAGACTAGTTCATATATACAGTAATTCACGAGGTTTGTAACCGTCCTTGGCTACCATATTCGATCAGCTCTGCCAGTAAGCCATCCGCTCCTACTGTTCTTCTCATTTCTAAAGCGGCCAATCGGCTTCAAACATCTTCAGAGTCGGCTATTGGAACGTCTATTTTAATAACAACAGTTGGGAACACAGTTTTACATGCCATCTCTGTCACACTCTTCTGCCTCTCAATGTATCTCGTCTTCCTCCTCAATTCTGTGTATCGTTCCCTCCCCACAAGTGTTGTGATCGATCACAATGTTTCAAAGTTTGAAATTTTTTATCACTGTAGTTCAAAATTCCCCTTCGTGCTAACCCTCTTCCCGAGATTGTTGTAAGTCTAGTGTGACTGAAGCAGTATTCCGCAGTTCTTTCATTTCGACTTCGAGCTTTCCTTGTGCTTGTTAATGACCTTACTTTGCGTAAGAACGTTTGAAGCACCGAAGGCATGCCTTCCGTCTATATCACAAAGGCAATGCACGTACGTGCTAAGCGCTCATAGAACGCATCAAAGGCATGCTTCCGTCTATATCACAGCATGATCAATTTAGTACCGTATTCTGGGGCTATGGTTCAGGACCTCAGTGTTGTCGATCTGCCTCAGCTATTTGAAGCCATTTCGTCACAGGGACTGAAGTCAATATAGGTAACGCTGATAGGTGCGCTACAAATGCTTATAGAAAGCATTTTTGGTCGCTTTCAAGTAAATTGTGGCGAGACGTTAATCCACCGTTCAGCCCGCTCTGACCAAGAGTCGGAGAATTTGACAACCAATTTTCGCTTCCTTTTCTCGTCCATGATACTTATTTGAAATGGTGATGCCCGCCTTTGGCCTTGCGACAACAGCAAAGACTGAATACTCCAAGTGTACCCTCAAATAATAATCCCTGAAACTTTTGCACGGGTCGTCATTAAAAAGGGTGCTCTCTCATCCGAGGTTTATTGGGATATTTCAGTGCGGTTGGATTTGTATTCGGTCAAACCAAAGCCGCATGTACGAGCGCAGGCGTTTCACTTTCTCAATGTATTGTAGTTCTTTGTTACCCAGAAAACATTAGGTCGCAGAATAAAATTGTGACCTTCTTGAACCCTAATCGTTTCTGGCTATTCCCAACTGAATGTGGTATATATTTTTTTTTTTTTTTTTTTTTTTTTTTTTTTTTTTTTTTTTTTGTAGCGCTTAGAAACCGCTGAAGCGATTTTCGTCCGAGCGCCTTCTTCAATTTGTGTTTCTGCGTCTTGATGTTCTTCGCACAAATGGATTTACGGGTTATACTAAGCCACTTCCGAACGGTTGATGGCATTTTATGAGGAGGAGCCTTTATTTCATGACAGAAATACACTCGAAGGGGTTGGTATTCCCTGCCTGAAAGGTGACCGCAATTATACAATTTAGATAGATTTTTTTTTAATTAATTTCTAGAGTTTCTATAATTAATTTGCTAAGCACTCAGCTACCGTGGCCGTGGGGGTATGGTTGAAAAATAAATCGAAAAAATAATACAAAATAACACTTCATCTATTGCGAAAATAAATATTGTTTAAGGTCAGTTTGTCATATAAATAAATCATTAATCCATTTATATTTTTATGCCAAGACTTTCTCTTCATATTTACTCCAAAAGGGGGTGGCTTATATAATCAATGTTAAATTATATACACTTCATGCCCTTTCAATGCCAAAACATCCATCAGCATTGACAAAAACAACAACAAGAAAGTCAAAAAACAAAAAAGAATAAGTGCAAATTTGAAAATATGTCCATTTATGACGTTGAGGCCATTACCGAAGTGCCTCTCAATGTCAACTTATGTCATCCATCCACTCTTCACTCTACGCCACTTCACCTCACTTCACCACATCTCACTTCATTCTCATTTGTAAACGAACTTTGAAGTTATGCATCAACAACAAAAACAACTAACAGCAGCGCCACTTGTCAGTCATCACTCCAATTTGCTTTCATTTAGCTTTTTGGGAAAAAACCACCCTCGCATTATTCGGGATGTTTTGGTGTATCATTTTGCGCCAAATTAAATTCTCAAACTGATTTTATTTTATGCCAACATACATACGAGTATGTAGATATGTACATATGTTTGTATAAACGTTCTTCTTGTTTGAGGGTTAATTTCATTTACGACCACGCAAACAAAACAAAGTACAAAAACAGTAACAAAAACAAAGTGCAACTACAATAACAGATAAAATAATAAAAGCATAAATACGGCAAATTTGGTTAAGTGAGAAGTAAAGCAATAAGGAATTGGATCACCAGTGGCGGCGGCGGCGGCAGCAGCGGTGGCAGGCGACAGCAGGCGAGCGGCAAGGACAAGTGGGGTGGGAGTAATGAAGACTGCAGCCAAGTATATGAAAACAAAGGGCTAAAACTGAGAAAATCATTACCTTATTCACACCATAGCAAAATAGTCATCAAGTGTGAAGGATTTGGTGAGGTTCGGTGTGGTGGAGCATGTGCGGGAGGCTGTTGAAAATAACAATACAGGCGTTGAGTCGTTGGGTCGTGTGGCATTCAATTTAAGTGTCGTTGAGCTCTTTATTATGTTAGTGTGAATTTTATATGCCGCAGCCATCGAACTCAAACCAAACCAATATATGTGTATATATGTATATGAATAGCCTCTAATGTCGACCCTTTAGGAAAGTGGCACAAAAGCCGCATTATCCTAGTCTACAAAAGATACCTTATATATATTTAATTCACCGTTTTTAATGGCTTTTTGATAGTCGTAAGATATTCTCAAATACCGCGATATTATCTGAAAAATTGTTCCCCACGAATATACTATATATATGTATCAGTAAGATCGAGTGTGAAAAGGCTTCTCAAACTTGCAAAAATAATTGTAAATTATACCTTCTAGTGCTGAATGTTAATTCTGGGGAATCAATTAAACATCACGTTGCAACAATTACTGAGAGTTGAACTTTTCAAAACGTTAAATAAAAGTACATAATGGCCCTATATCGTTCCCTTGTACACTTGTTATAACAACTGTTTGTAAATAGGACTCACTTTCTACCGAGAATACCTTGAAGGAACCTAAGCCCAGCAAAGATTACGTCCTTATGTTGCCTTGTAAGAGCGCTCGGCCAGGTTTTCAGGCCATGCTCACCGTTGTCTTATCCAACTTGGACGTATTTCTGTCCAAACTCTCATCTAAGCTTACATTTCAGACCAACCGTCTATATCCTTTCTTCACTTCAAGTGAGTATGTCTGGCGTCTAGGCTAGTACTGCTGCTATCTGATATCTCAATATCAGTCTTACCAATGATAACTAAGTCCAGTGGCACTTGACTACTTGACCCTTAATCCTCACTTTCCGACAATTGCTTTTCACTTGTGAAGATAGCGATGGAAGCCTGTTTATAATATTAGATTTTCAGTTGAGTTTCTGGTCAAAAACTAGGCTCAAATAATGTTCTTTGCTGCCGTGACTTAGGTTAATTTGTTTGTGAAGAGAGCAAACCCAAACGCCACATCGATTAGGCAACTTCAATACTTTTCAAAGACTCTCTTGCAGCAAAACGCATGGAGTCCCTAGAAAGATAATTCTATAAGCTACGACAGTATTAACAGGCTGAGAAAACAACGAGGTTGGGAGATTGTTTTAATCCAAAAGAGAGGAACCAATTCGAAGCTCTTTCCAGCACTTTCTTGCTGCAAAATAAAATTTCTTGCTGTTGCCACTTTGTCATTGCTAAAATATACCCGAAAATTGAGACGTGGCTTTTTTACGGACTTTTATACTATCTCATAAGGACTTCTCGTGCCAACAGCGGCCGTGCAAACACCGTTCGAATCTTAATTTTTTCATTACTACTTTCCGCCAGGGTATTCTTACACCTCAGTGTCACACATTCCCATTGTTGCATGACGACAAGGACGTGTGTGCAAAAACAGCAATAATAACAACCACGAGTATGTTGGCGGTGCGTATGAAATGAAACTTAAACAACGGAGCAGCAAACAAAATGACAGAAGTGTGGTCACATACAGTTTCGTAGCACTTTCGCTGCAGTTTCCTCTTTCTTTG